ACCATCGTGTTTCTCGCGAACTTTTACGTAAGAAACGGTGGTCAAAGCGCAAATTCCTCAAACATGCAATATCTACATTATGACAGAAACTTCGCAACATCGCAAACGAAAATACGTGGTTTTGTACTTTGACTATAGACCCATATAAAGACGTCTCTGAATGGGCGAACCTTAATGTGGCCAATCCGCAAGAATCTCCACCGCGCTTTCCGGCTCCGGGGTGCACACCGGCGGTATACTGCCGTGATAGCGAAAAAAGCGGTAAGTGCATGCTGGGATGAACCTCGAGACACATAAAAGCATGTGCTTACCATGGCTCATACCAGTGGCGTGGCGTGCTTTGCGATATATCGAATGATCTGCCTTTAAACCTATGGAAAAGGATCGATAAACAGGGTGTTCGCAGCGAACACCTTAATGATCGATTCTTTACCGTAGCTTCAAATGGGGGAATATCGATATATCGCAAAGCACGCCACGCCACGGAAATGCACTTTGCTGTTCTGTTCGCTATCACGGCAGCGTTGGCGGTAGGTAGTTCATAATTAGCGGCCAGCCGCGGGACGGCGTATTAAAGTGAATCATAGACACTTCACCGAGGCATAAATCAAAAAGTAACCGACTGTAAACAGCTTCGAGATCGGGACTCCCCTCGCTCGTGGAGCTATTTTCTGCTCAAGTAGATCGGATCTCACCGGGCTTCTCAACCGGAGTCAATGTTTACTGAAACGTCGCCAAATTTTGCGGCGGGACGGTTGAATTTTCAACGAGGCTCCTCGTGAAAACCTTCCAGTGGCCGATTTTTGAAATTGATAGATAAAGCTGTAGACAAAGAAGACAAAATAAAATGGAGGGGGAGTTCCGGGTGCGGGAGCCGTAGCTTCAATTGATCCGGGTGCTACGCCCAGAACTTTCGGCCTCTCAGCCCGGAACGGGGCATGTCTTTAATGTCGCCACTCTCCGGCCGAAGTATCACAAGCGCCATGTGACGTTTCAAAATCTCCGCCGCAATTTTATTTTTTTACTGAGAAATTGTTCAACGAAATTGTCCGGAAATTTTCCTCGTGCTGCCGATAGACTTCAGTGAAATTTTAAATTGATTCAACCAACAATTTCTCTGTAAAAATTAAAATAGCGGCGGAAATTTTTAAAACGTTGCATGGCGTTTGTGATACTTTGCCCGAAAGGTGACGATATATAGGTCGTCAGTACGGCCTCTGCGGCCGGATTTTTTTTTTTTTTTTTTTTTCAGTGTGTAAATATCAAAGGATTTGAGTCATTTTTCCAATTTTGTAATGGAATTACGTTCCTTCACGGAGAAAAAACCTCGTGCATGGGACCCGAAGTTTAGGTCGTATGGATCTCTAAAGTTTTCAGATTGTGCATCTGAACACTTAAGGTCTAGCTGTTGAGGTTCGGATCACACATCTGAAACTTCAGTTCTTATATCTGAAGTACTTCGGTTTTCACATCCGAAAAACTGCGGTTCTCACATCTGAAGTACTTCAGATGTAAGAACTGAAGTATTCCAGATGTAAGAACTGAAGTTTCAGATGTCTGATCTGAACTTCGGCAGCTAGACCTTTAGTGTTCAGATGCTCAATCCGAAAACTTCAGAGATCTATATGACCTACACTTCGGGTCCCACGCACGAAGTAAATTTCTCCGTGTTCATTTGGAAAACGACGATTTCTCTCAGTTGGCGTGATATCGTCGCATACTTGACATAAGGGTGTAACTACACTCTGCAATGAACCCTGTCCTCCATACAATTCCATGTTTTTTCGGGCTCATCTCAGTGTGTAGTTAAGCCCTCATGATAGTCAATCGACGATATGACACTCTGACACACGTGCATTCCTTCGGCTTGCTTGAACGCAAATATCCTCTCGCATCATGGTCTAATAATTGCTAGGCACTACTCTCGGCTCGCATAATTAGCGCCTGATCCCGTCAGCTTCCAATGTCCACCGACCGTCGCGCCACCTTCGCAGTACCGAACTGTCAACTGCGATCAAGTCAGACTGAAGCGCGTGACCCGTGCTCCCTGCGGGAATGTCAGACAGATCGCGCGACATAACTCCCCGCCATTGGATTTTTTCCAAAATTAGGTGCTCGCGCGAATAAGCTCGCGGAGCGTCCACTCCCCTGGAACGTTTAAGTATGACGTCATTCAAGCCGACGTCAGCCGAAGTAAGCCTGGCGAAGTAAGCCGAGTGAAAGGTTGCCAAGTTGCAGATATCCCGAAGGATCAATTTATGAGGTTCCCGGATGGAAACGCAGTCATTTTCCTAGAAAAAATGAACTCACTGTGGGTCAGTTTTGCTCTGCCGTGCTAAGGAAAAACGCCGTATGAACATTCGAGAGTTGCCGAATTTTCTTTGATATAATGTTAATTTTTGAGGAAAGTTATGAATGTTTTTCCTTTAAATTTCCAGAATCTGTAGGTGGAGTTGCGAACATAATAATTTGAAAAATTTGAAGAAAAATATCCATGAGTTTACCAGGAAATTCGTGTTTTATTGAAGAAAATTTGGCAACGCGTGAAGGTTCATCCTGCGGTTTTCCTTAACATGGCAGTGCTGGTCACAGAATCCTGTTTCAATAAATTCGAATCGTATTGACCAGGAAAAAATATTGAGAACCGCGCAAACACGAGGTTTTCACGACCGATATCAACGACAATATCGCCCCTCAAGGATGACGTTGCATGACGTCATCCACTGCGGTGATGCATACCAGGGTTTCTTCCGCCTTCGTTTCGTATCTGTTTAAAGGTTAACCGTCACGGTTTCTGGCGTGGTCGAGTTGGCATTCGATGAATCGAATCGATCATGTCAGGCTGCATGTCAAGTTATTTTAAATCGTAGAAATTTTTGAACTTTTTGGTGATAAAAGGGCAATAGCCCCTTCGCAATGCGCATGAGCCTGAAGAATCATTGGAAACCAAGAAATTGGCAAAACCTAGAAAAACTGCAGATTCCTTTTTGGAATGAAACTGAACATCCGATACATCGATCCGTTGTCTTGATTTCTGAACCAAATGCGAGTTTTTATTCGAAGTTCAAAATCTGCCGAGATTTTTGACATTATCGATGCGATTTATCCTATGCCAGTTCGACCACGTCAAAGACCTTAACGAATCATCCCAAATCGAGCGACCATTGCAACCGTGTGTTTTAAGCACTGAACCCAAGATGAAAGAAATCAGTGGCGTAGCGTGCTTTGCGATATGTAGATTGTTCTGCCGTTTAAACCTGTGGAAAAGATCGATAAATGGGGTGTTCGCAACGAACACCTTAATAATCGATTCCTACCTTAGGTTCAAATGGGGAAATATCGATAATCGATCATTCACACCTCACCACTGAAAGAAATCATGTGTGTACTAGGAATGTACCATGCATGTACTATGAATGTGCCGTTTGAATGGCGCCTGTCACTGTGATTTTCGAAGAAGAATATCTCCATTAAGATTAGACTAAGTATAAGACTACCATGAATACTTCCGTAAAATTGTCTCACAATTGGTTGATCACATGAAGAATTACTTGTTTACCAGGTAATTCGCTCAATTGTCAAGTACTTAAAGAATAGAGGAACCAAGATTGCCCAACGGCCAAGTTTCACCACCTTCATGCATGAAAGCAGCCCGTTAATCTGTACTTCGTAGGCGATTCAACGCAAAATAATTTCCGAGTTTCATTTGTAGCAGTCAAGCGGATCTCCATGATGCACCGGCGCTGATGACCAGATTCCCGGGGAGAGACTCTTAAAGACCTCGAAAGTTCAGGAGAAAATGAAAAACTTTCTCCATGAACTGTCAAATGACTGAGACATTAAAAGCTCGTTGCCTTCTTAATCCGTAAATAAGCAAGTTTGGGATCGAATTCTCTGGCCGCACTTTTTTCATCTACAGGTTTTTCTTCGCCGGTTCACCCGATGTATCTCGTAATAATATATAATCCTTTATCATAAACTTAAATTATTCTTCCTTCAGAACCCTGGTAAAAATTGGCAGTAGAATGTGTGTTCCAAAATACTATAGACCTAAAGCCGGCTGTAAGATTTCCAATAGCTTCTGTAGCCGGCTATACAATTTCTTAAAGCCTCTCATAGCCGATGGCGATTAAGCAACAGCCAGACGATAAATTTTATGCTAAACGTTACTAAATACGGATACTAGGACTTAGTTAGTTTTTGGACTACCGCTCTCTTTTTCTGCCGTAGTATCTTGATTTATTTTGCGAGGAAAGCTCCGTACTTTTGAAGGATACCTGTCATTCTTAATATGTTGGAGCGCTTTCAATTTCTTATGATACTGTGCAATACCTTTGGTGTGAAATAGTTGCTTCGGAAGCCGTGGCACGCTGCGGCGCAGCGGGCGGGCAGAGAGCGCGAAACGCGCATTAGCGCCTACAAACCAAACAGGGATACTTCACGCATTGCGCAATGCGTGAAGTATCCCTGTTAAGTTTGTAGGCGCCAGTGCATCGCCGCTCCGTTTGTGTTAGGCTCTAATATTTAATCTCGCGGAGTCAGTGTTTTTCAACTCACGATTTTGAAATGTTTGCACACTCTGTATGGATTATTCTAATTTTAATTGATGAAAAAAAATGTGTTTTAAAGGAAAATATAATGTGTGTTTTGTAAATATTAAGGTAGTTCCGTATCAAACTTAATGATTTTCAAAGCTCTAGAATTTCTACACAATTTCCTATAGCCTGTTATAGCCAATGGCGATAAAGTGTAAAGCCCGGCGATAATAACTATAGCCCGACTGTATACTTTTTCACAGCTGCGTATAGCCCGGCTGTATGATTTGCTCCGCTTTCTACAGCCAGCTATATGATTTTCAATAGCCTTCTTTAGTCGGCTATAAGAACTCCTATAGTATTTTGAAACGCAGCTCCTATCGCCAATTTTTACCTGGGAAATTTGTGTTAGCTTCTTTCTAACCCCTCTCCAAACACGATAGCTAGCAGGAATAGATGACTGACCTGCCAAGCGACCGTATCTCTGAAACATTCGTTCGACGTCTGTTTTGCTGCACTGGAATGTATTGAGGTTCCCGACAAAAACCCGCGAGTTGACGGCTTGCGGGTCTTGCGAGTTGGTTTGGTTCCCGATTTTGCTCATCTTCATCATGAAGGCCTGAAACAAACGTAGGCGTAGAAATTAGCCGCACGTAGAGAGTGATAAGAAAAAAGGAAAATAGAAGAAAGGACCAAACAAGACAAGCAGAAAAAACCGGTTGAGTTTTAAATGATGTGATGACTTTATGACAAAAGTAAAGAAAGCAACATCTACAGTGCAATGTTTAGAAATTTCCAACTACGCTTTAGTTTTGAAGCCAACCCGATTATTGAGAACGAATATTTCTCCGTCCTCGGTTTGAAGATATAATTTTTTGACTGAAGCCATCAAAATGTGAAGATGTTCATAAAATACCAATAAAAAATCATATAACTCGAATAATAACGCTACAGATTTCTCGTCAGATTTTTCTTTTCTTTTTCTAGTATGTAGATCAAATGAAGACTATTCTCGTAATGAGAATTATTCGATACTATTCTTCGTAATTCTCGTATGAGAAAATTTCTCGTAATATCCACTGATTTCTGTACAGGTACACCCGTTAATTTTTTTTTTTTTTTTTTTTTTTTTTTTTTTTTTTTACATTTTATTTACACAACATAACTACATAGTGTTAGCTGTTTTTACATGAATAAGATAATGATTAAAATATGAACGGGTACCCTTTAAATGTGAGTCAACGGAAGTATAAAGATGTAACATTTACGTGCTTCTCCTCGCCAAAGCAACCGTCACATTGGTACATGCGTTTATGTTTGGACTCTCGTCATCAATCACCTTGTTTTAATATTGAGAAATCGACTTATTACATTTTTTTGCGATGTGCGTATTTGTAGAAATCCATTACCGTGGGAAAATTTAAATAATGAAAACATACTTCGAATAAATACAATACCATATCAAGTGCATTTAGATCTCCCTCCATTAGATGCAATTCCCGTAATCAGGGGCTCCTCTATTTACCTTCCGATTTTAGCCGATAAACTTTCAGAAGTTATTTTTATAACACAATGATCTCACAAAGTCCATAAAAGCAACAATCCCTAACCTGAGGCTATCCATATCGATTGCAAGGAACAACTGAAATAAGGAATGATGTTTAAATTTATCCTGACCTTATTACAGCGCAAAAGTTGATTCGTGAATGTCATCATTATCCGCTTACTTTCGGGTTCAAACTTCCGCCCAGTTAAAGTTTTACAAAATGTTCTTCCTGCATTGGATGGAATAGTGAAGATAAACTTGCATGTTTGGACAAGGCAATTCTGTCCATCAATTATCATCGAAGACATTAAAACGAAGCACCCTGTGGTACCGCTTTATCATGGAAATACATATAGCATATCCTGACTTACAACTGTTGGAATCCAGCTTTCGATTAGAACATGCCAAACAGAAAACTAAACCAATCCTTAAAGTTGACTCCAAAATTACTGATATTAAACATGAAGATGGCATTAGTTCCCTGAATGAAGAAAGCTCATTATATAATTTGTGAACGTAAAAAAGGCTTTATAATTTAGCCCTAATCAAGTACCCCCTTTCTTGGGAGGGGAAGGGTATCAAAATAAGCTCTTCTTGTAATTGAGCCTTAATCAAATTCCCGGACTTAACCATTTTTTAGCAGAGAAGAACCCAACTGTCAAATATAGAAATGTGTGACCAAGTTAGCTCCGTAAAACTCACTAGCTCTGAAAAGAACCAAAAATATCAGAAGTGATTGTATTCAAATTTCTCGTAACCTATAACCTATGTACAATATAAACGTTAATATCTAAGCTGGGAGTTGATTTCAGTAGTTTACGTCGCGCGAATCGTATTCTACGTGAAATTCTGGAGAAGAATTATGTATCAGAGTGCTTAAGTTTGTACCTTCTTGAATGCAGGTCCATTCACTCTAAATGAGCGAGCATGGATAACTTTTCTTAATGTTCTCTGAAAAAATATTTTATCCGGAGAAACGAGTCAACGTTGGAATACTCATACGGCATCGAAACACAATATTATGGGCTTTTAAAGCCCCATTATTCGATGCAAACACAGCTCGGTCAGCGTTACGCGCATAGTAGCGCCTGCAAGACTGGAAGAATACTTCTCGCAATGCGCCAAAAGCAGTGCAGTCGGTTCCAGGAATACTTCACGCATTGCATGCACAGCCCGGTGCGCGCTTCAATCGTTGTACTTGAAACGCTATGTGCAGAAAAGACATTTCTTGATTGCGGTTTCTCGGGATCTTTGCCAACGTTTCACACATTAAATTTTAAACAAATGCATGGAATTTCTTCAAACTCGTACTGGATTTTCTTTATCATTTTACAACGCTAAAAACTAAAAATTTCAGAAACTTCGCCAAATAGTTCTCTGATGTATAAATCAGCAGAGGAGATTCTGAAACGCCGCAACCAAGAAATGCCCTTTTTGCACCCAACGCCTTAATTTCTAAGTGTCAGACGCATCGTTTAAAATTCGTCAAGACTCTGCAATTTCGCTTTTTAGACATTTTGTTGATTAAATCCTGTCTGATCCTCATTCCGAGGTGAAATTACAACAACATTATGAGTATTTAAAAAGTTTAGTCCCAATACTAGAAAAGTATATACCCCAATACTTGGCGGCGGAACCGGGCCTCGGGCTCATTTCGTCCTAGACTCGCAATGCTTTTCCATGGCGCTTAGTTCCATTTGACAGAACGCGCTATCCGGCATTCTAAATTCCTTAAAAGGAACTCAAATCGGCGCTTGGTTCCGTTTGACAGAAATACGTCCAGTTTATCCTCCCGCGCAAACTTGCCGCAGGCACGTGAGAGTCCCGTCCTGTGGTGACGAGAAATTCCAGAAGTTTCACTCCTGAGTTTATAATATAGCTTGGGACTTATCTCATGAAAAAGTCTCGCGGAGTCAAGACGTTAAATACTCTGAACAACACATAAATGTCTGAGCTAACTCACTTGCACCAATTTTTTCCTTTTTTTCTAAATTTCGGAGCCATTACCTCTACGTCCTGAGTCGTTCGTAAACTCGCAAACTAAAAATTTGTGCAAGTGAGTGGGCTTGAAAATTTTAAATTTCATTTAATTTAACTTGTATATTCCCCTTGGGTAATTCTTTTCTAAAGTAAGGTGATTCGATTCGATGGACGCCATATTTTGTGTCAGAACGGCATGCGACATATCGCATCAATTGGTTCCAATTTTTCAGCTACTCGTCATTTCTCTCCAATTTTTGGATCGCAGTTCTGTTGTTAGGAGACTAAAGAATTCATGTACCAATTTTAACAAAGAAATTCAACGTATTAAAGGCGTGGTTTTTTCAGAGAGAAAACATCGCATTCGATACTGATATCGAGACTGCACTCGAATGCGATATTTTCCCTCCAAAAAAAACCTCGCCTTTATTACGTTGAATTTCTTTGTTAAAATTGGTGAGTGCTTTAGTCTCCTGACAACAGAATTGCGATCTCAAAATTGGAGAAAAATGACGAGTAGCTGATAAAATGGAACCTCTTGATGCGTTATATCGCATGCCGTTCTGACACAAAATATGGCGTCCATCGGAATCACCTTAAATACGCTCTCCCGAAACTTCTCGCAACTTTTTATGCCGGACGACTGCAATAATTCGGAGGGCGCGGCAACACCGAAAATTCTCCCTCCCCACCCGGAAAACATCACATCTGATATTTCACTCATGCTCTTCCCCAATTACCCCGCACACCTACCGGGGTTATGAGAGATTGTAATTTTTGCGTCAGTCGTGGATAACCTCGTTCTACTCCAATTTCTATGTAAACAAACGACGGTGGTGGCTAGTTCACGCCATGTTACCTCGTGCAAGTATTCAGGCAAGAAAATCGAATGCGAGGTTGTCAGACTGCCGCTTGACGGACCCTCTCCTCCTCCTCCTCCTTTAAGATTTCTAAAACCATTGGAGACCTGAATATAGAGCTGCATAACATTTGAAGTATTTTTAAAGATAGTTAGACAAAAGAAGTCGAAAAAAACGACGATGATCATTCAAGATTTTGTGGTTTTATCAAAAAGTATGGATTCGACCGACACGAATCGATCGAAAAATGAAAACTCGAAGCGATCACTGGAAAAAAAACACATTGGATCTAGAGTCCAGACTCTGAAAAACATCGACAAGAAAAAATACTGTTGATTCAATCAGATTTAAGCTTAAATCAAGAACCAAGCCTCTTAATTTGAGAGGATTTCCTTTTGATTTACGCTTAAATCTGATTGAATCAAGAGTATTTTTTCTTGTCGATGTTTTTCAGAGTCTGGACTCTAGATCCGAAGTGGTTTTTTTTCGAGTGATCGACACCGTTTCGATTGACAAATTACTAAGAAACCTGTTTCGATTCGATTGACATGAACCGATCAAAAAGTTAAAACGTGAACCAATCGGCAACCATGAATCGATCACCAAACCCGTGAATTGATCGGCAGATCCGTGAATCGATCGACAAATCCGTGCATCGTTCGACAAACCTGGAAATCGTTCAACAAACCCGAGAATCTATCGAATGACGCCGATCGGTTCACGTTTTCATTTTTCGATCGAATCTATAACCACCGAGGATCGACAAACCCGTGAATCGATCGAATCTGTGTCGATCGATTCATGTCGATCAGATCAACACCTTCTTTTTACCAATACAGAAGGTTACGTAACGCTGCCATTCCCTTCCCACCCACGTAGCGCTCATTCCTTATTCTCCCCAAGAGCGTTACGTACCGCCTTGTCTCCACGGGACGTTTCACGGTATTTTTCCCAAGTTCGAATCGCATGAGTAAAACTTCTGGGCTTTTCTACCGTTAACAAACACAACAACATTTCTTCTTTTTCTTCAGTGTGATTAGTATTGACTAACTCAATAACTTTCCCAACTTCGCAAGTGAGCTTTTTCCCCAGGACAATTCCCACGAAACGTTTCGTGAGGACAAGGCCTAATTGGGCGTATTTCTATCAAACGGACCTAAGCGCCATAGGGTGAGGAAGGTAGAGGGGGGCTTGGATTTGCGGCGGAATCGGGCGTCCGGCTAATTCCGTCCTATACTCGCAATGCTTTTCCATGGCACTTAGGTCCGTTTGACAGAACGCGCTATCCGGGATTCTAAATTCCTCAAAAGGAACTCAAATCGGCGCTTAGTTCCGTTTGATAGAAATACGTCCAATTAATGAACGCTTTCTCGCAGGCAAGAACGGAGTCGCTCGCAGAAGCTACGTTTGACATTCGAGTGTGAAGAGTATTTCCTTGTCGATGCTCGTTTAAATTAGCAAGATAGGAGCTTAGGAACTCGTTAGTGAAACGATTTCCAAGAAACACTTTATTTCATTTCTACCGTGCTAAGAAAAAACGCCGTCTTAACATTCGAATGTTGCCAAATTTCCATGGATAAAACCTTTATTTTCAAGGCCAGTTATGCATATTGTTCGTTGAAATTTGCATGCACCCTCGATCAAATTACGAAAAAGATTTTCTGAAAAATTCGAGGAAAAATAGTCATAAACTTTCTCAAAATTTCGTGATTTATCATATCAAAGGAAATTTGGCAAAGTCTGGTGGCTCATACGTCGCTGCTCCCCAGCATGACAGATTTTGCTAGAGTGCATTTATAGAATAAATATGAAAATTTATGTGCATTTATAGAGAAAAGAGTATAGACAACTTGATTTATGTAGCTATTAGTGCCTAAATGGGCGACAACGTGAAAAACGCCTGTCACTAGAAAAGTGCCGCTGCCAACCTATAGAAATGTTAATCAATTGGGCCGACAGCGCATTGTAAACAAGGATTTTAAAGGATTAAGACCTTGAAACTGAGAACATTTGCGCGAAATCGAAGTTTTATAATTCTTGATAAGTGTATCTACTCTCGCAGTTTAAATTAGTACCACTGGATAGTTCGAGTTCATAGGTTGGCTACCCTTTTGAGCCCCAAGAGCTCCATGACCTGATCAAACCTAACATCCAAATGGACCACTAGACAAGGTACGACTTTCAGCAGTCTGATACATGTTACTTGACCAAAATTTCACGTAGAACATGATGCGTACAACGAAAATTCCCGCAATCAAATCCTTACGAAGATATCTAATGATTCTTGATGCGTGAATTGAAACCACCCGCTTATGAAAACTCAATGCTCTACGTGATTCACATCGCGCGCTACACGTTATCATGGCAGTCTTCACAATATACAAATCTGGCAACCTCAATCTTGACGCTTTGGCTCAGCTATAGCAAGTTGTTTGTAGTTTGAACAACACATGGTGGGAAATGAACATTGCTCGACTGAGAAGCTTGCTGAAACCGTTGTAGGGCGCGATTTGACTCACGTAGAACTTTGAGTTTCTTGTGAGCGGGCAGTTCAAATTCGTCGTAACCAATGTGAAATAAACACGTTAATATCTTCGTTAGGAGTTGGTTCCAGTAATTTTCGTTGTGCGAATCGTGTTTTACGTGAAATTCTGGCTAAGAAGCATGTATCAGAATGCTGAAATTCGTACCCAGTCTAGTGGTCCATTGTCGAGTTGTCCATATTCTCCCTTTGAAGGTACTCGAGATTTTACCGGAAGCTTCCCGTTTCGCAACGAGACTATCCGCAAATACGCGACCGGGCCGGCAACAGCGCGCTCGTATCTCTTTCACCACGGCCATTCGCGCGGTCTCCTATTTATTCATACCTGCTTATAAAACCTACACCTAATTTAATACTCCGGGACATGAATATTTTATGCGGGTTTTTTTTGCCGTCTTGCCCTTTTTACACTCACCGATGCTCACCGTTTACCGACCGTTCTCAGACAGCGCTTTGGTTTTATCCACCAAAGTGGTGTTCACACNCCCCCCCCCCCCCCCGCCCCCCGCCCCTCCTCCGCACCAACGCCCTTTTCATCTCTCGCCTCGCCTATCGGAAAATTGATTTATTCGCCCCGCCGAGAAAAACGTTTTCGCTGATGGGAAAGGTGTTGTTTCGCCGCTTGAATCAAACGAGGGCCCCTTCGGAGGCTATTTGTTGAGCGGGTGTTCTTCGTCGAATATGTACGGTGTATCTCTTAGAGGTGTATTCTCAGGGTTGTATTCATAGTCGATCCCTAAACAACTTATTCCCTGACAGAGGCTTTTGTTTATATTGTCATTTAGGGAGGTTTAACGACGCGCTAACGTAGCACCATACTGATAAATATATTTGATGTTCTTCTGTTAATTTTGATTAATGTAGGAAGGTGAAACACAAACCAACCAACAGCGAAGAACTGCGAGTTGACGCGTCGTGCCTCCGCGCCTTCAATTTTGCAGATGCAACACAGACATCCATCAAGCACGAATAGTTGCATCTCTGCGCCGTCATCAATTCGGTCCTTTTTCTTGCTCTATATCCATGTCGTGTGATTTTGGTACAGTTTGCGTCGAATTTAGCGCAGAATACAACGTGAAGACTGGGACAATGCAATTCTCCGATTGCCACGTCAATATACAGCACTCATTTTTAATTACATTTCTTCAAGAAAAATAGCTGACATTTTCTCTTGAAATTGTCAACCGAATCAAAGGTTATTTTGCGTTTTACTTCCCGTAATACACAAAATTTTGTGTCGAAATTTCTATCCGTGTGAAGTCCTTAAGTAAAAATGGAAGTAGTATAGTATTAAGTTTCATCGACTTTCCATTCATTGTACGAAAAGTAGTAACCGACTCCGGATTATCCGAACTTTCCGTTACCCAAACTAGCTGACCGCCACAACAGTCCGGATCGAGAGTGACGGAAATATTGTCATCTGTTGGCTTTTCAGTTCGTCGTTTCGCACACGAATGAATGTAACTCCATCTCAATGTTGCCAGATTTTTCCGCTCTAATTGAATTTTTACCAGGGGAATTTCCGGAATTTCTAGCTGAAAATTTTACTAATTTTCCCTCTGATTTCATGCTAAAATCAGACACATTTTTAACCCAAATTAAACAGGCTTATTATTCTCGTGACCAAGTTGAATTGACTGAGTCAATTTTTCGATTTTGGATTGGAGTTACGTTCCTTTGTGCGAGAAACGACGACTTATGTAAGGCTATTTATTGAAAATTCAAATTTTAGTAGCTGTCCGCGAAAAACTGGTGGGTTAAAATATACCCCTGAGCGGTTCTTATATTGAACAGCGTTAATGCGTGGTAATATTGCCATAAGTTTAGTGTGAGTCCTTGAATCGTATCATGATATGACGAGAAGTTTATATATGCACGTGAACTACCGTAATCAATGAAAAATTCGTCCACAAGTTGGCGATTTTTCTCAAATTGCTAACCGTAGCCGCTCACATTTATTAGCATAAGTAGTTAAACTTACGCAGTTTCCACGTTTTCAAGTTGTATTCTCGTGCTCGATGATGGAAATTACTAACTTTATTTGCATAGTTTAAGGAACGAACACTTACGGCATTCGAATCGTTGTCCAGGGTTTTCTCGAAGAATTGCAGCATCTGTGGCTTTTTCGTGTCCTGAAAACAAACAGAGGAGGTACATGAGCAACATATCTCAAAGCGTACTATCGTGTTGGATTTCAAACATTGTTGATAACAAAATTGACCTTGTGACATGGGTGTTTGCCCAATTTTTATAAGTTTTGTGTAAAACATGTTTTCCCTCATTCTAACGGGGGAAAAAACTGCACAGCCCCTTACATGAACACTAGCGGACTAAAAAGTTTCCTTTCCCCCGTAAATCCAATCCATTTCTCTTTCTGCATGTAACCTGATTATTTCGTGTATTTAAATACACCTGTGGACTTCAAAAGCGGCTTAAAAGCTCCACTCACCCCTCTTGTAACGTGACACCGGGCCAGGCTCTACGCACAGTAGGGGAAAAAATTGTAATTCCGGTTGAGAATAAAACCTTCAAGATAACGATACTGCACTAGAATTGGTCTTGAGATAACATGTTACGTTACTCTCTAGTTCGGACCTCGTCGGAAAACGCATAAAATTGATAAAAATCAGTAGATATAATCTGCAGCGCTATGAACATGATTATTATTTTCTGTTATTGAGTATAAAACATTTGTTGTGTTCTCTCTCCTCTCTTTTTGAAGGAAAACTCAGAAAATAGATCAAAAAATGGTGAGAAACCATTTTTGTCATCAGGAAAGCTTTCTTTCCTCCTTGCCTTCAGCCCGACGCAACAAAAGGGACATTGGCGAAACCTGTTGGCGGAAGCTGGTGGTTGCAATGGACAAAGGCAGTAGGTAATAGACTAACTAATGGAAACCCACGAGAAACCCGACGGTTAGTCCATCATTTTCTCCTATAGTGTATAAGAACCACACATTTCAACCAAGAGGATCGCTCCATACCCCCTATGTCCTCTTTGTACATAGCTTTGTCTATCAATTTCAATAATGAGCCCGCCGAAAACCCAAAAGGCAAAGAGACGAGGACGATGAAAAGCGTAACGGAAAATTAATGCATTTACAATGAGACTTTGAAAATCACTGACGCCGCAAGTTTAGTAGCCGCATAGTAGCGCCTTACAAGATCGTAGGATACTTCATGCATCGCGCGTACCGCATGGTGCGCGCAACGCATGTGGTAGCGCCTTACAAGTCTGCAGGATACTTAATGCATCGCGCGTACCGCACGGTGCGCGCAACGCATGTGGTAGCGCCTTACAAGTCTGCAGGATATTTCATGCATTGAGCGTGTACCATGGTGCGCACTCAAGTCTTTGAAAAGTCGTATTTTCTTGGAGTCGAAACTACACCGTCAAGAAACCTCACAAGTGGACTAATGGTCGATATTAATGGACAAAGCTATAGACATAGAAGACATAGAGAGTATTGAGCGATCCTGTTGATTGAAATGAGTGGTTCCTGTAGACACAAGGAGGAAATGATGGACAAATTATCGGGTCTCCCTTGGGCTGTCTTTAGTTAGTCTATTGCCTAACCTCCTATGTGTATTGCAACCGCCCGCTTTCCTTCATACCCCTTTTGTTTTCTTTGTCTATAGCTTTGTCTATCAATTTCAACAGTCAGCCCGGGTTTCCGGGCTCCATCCGTCCAAAAGTCGTCTCATTTCCGGCGACTGAGTGCCCGGGTCGGGTCGCCGGAGCCGTAACGCGAGACGCGAAGCTAAGTCGGCGTGTAACTCTTTTAACAAGGCGGCCCTCATTAGCGACACAAATGTGTTTGTTTTGCGTCTCTGTCGCGTCGACGGGATTCTTTGCCGTGCTCGACTTTTATTTTATTTTTTATTTTTAATTAATCCCGCCACCCCCTCCCCGTGGCCCCGGCTTTTTCCCGCGCCCGAACAAAGCGCCAAAGCTCGTCTCTTGTCGCAGCTTTAATCCCCCGCAATTAATTGCCCGGGCGCCCCCCCCCCGCCCCCCACCCACGCGGAGATCGTAATTGCTGACACGTCATAAGCTGTAACGCGTTTTTCACGAGGTTATGTTGGGGTAGGACGAGATTGTGTCATGCGCTCGCGGTCTAGGGGGTGGGTTGAACAATATAAAAGCTGTTAGGAGGGTTAAGTACCTCAATTTGTTAATAATTTAAGCTAAAAATAAAATACTAAATTTGGAAATGAGATATAATTATACTTTTACTGATATTTTCAACTTAAGCTAGTGGTTTCACTGAGTTACATCGGGGCTACATTCGATTTCATCGGGGTGGATTAGAGACAATATACAGAGTGTCTCAGGGTTACTCAACGTCAAACTCGGATGAATGATATAAGCGCCTGCAAGACTGTCGAAATACTTGCGCGAAATAATTGCACCAAACAGTGCGGTCGGCGTGAACCGCACACTGGAAAAAAAAACACATTGGCTCGAGAGTCCAGACTCTTGAAAACATTGACAAGAAAAAATACTCATGATTCAATCGGATTTTTGCTTGATTCAAAACGAAATCCGCTTGAATTAAGAGGCTTGGTTCTTGATTTAAGCTAATTTCTGATTGAATAAAGAGCACTTTTTCTTGTCGATGTTTTTAAAGTCTGGACTCTAGATCCAATGTGTTTTTTATTCCAGTGCATGGCAGAATAGTCCGAGACCCACTTTCTGCACCTCCCATGCGAGCAACACCGTCTTGTTCTTTCCCGAAGTGGCGGGCATGTGTGAGTGCGAGTCCAACGCGATCGCGGGACGAAACTTTCTCGGGGCCAATTTGGAAATGGCCTGCCGCCGTTTAAGAGGGCGGAAAATAATCGAATCCGATGCGATTGACGAATGATGGATCCGTCCCATCCATCAATTTATTCGATTACGTGCTGGGCTCGGGAGCGGTGTCCGAAAATGCCCTCTTGTTTACACTACCCATCTGATCTGCCGTGCTAAGGAAAAACGCCGTATGAACCCTCAGGCGTTGCCAAATTTGCTTTGATGAAACACGAATCCCCTGGTAAACTCATGAATATTTATTTTCCCGTTTTTTAGAGACTTTTGTTAGTTTTTGATCTAAAGCTCCTGAAAATTTCAAGAAAAAATGTTCATGATTTTCCTCAAAAATAAACATTTCATCCAAGGAAATTTGGCAACTCTCGAATGTTCATACGGCGTTTTTCCTTAGCACGGCAGTGATGGGCTTCTACGTCCCTGCTTTTCGACGCATCATTGGGCACCCGAGCATTCCGGGGGGGGGGGGGGGGGAGATAAATGAATGAGGCGCGATTCACATTCGCGGAGAGTTTCTAGTCCATTAGTTGCGATTCCGATTTATTGAGGCCTCGAGTAAGGCGGTCGGGATTCTTCCACTAATCGATTTGCTATATTTCCCCATTTGGAGCTATGGTAAAGACTCGATTATTAAGGTGTTGTCTATCGATACTTTTCGATAGGTTTGAATGGCATATGTCTATCGATACTTTTCCATCGGTTTGCACGGCAGATGTCTATCGATACTTTTCCATAGGTTTGAATGGCAAATGTCTATTGATACTTTTCCATAGGTTTGAATGGCAAATGTCTATCGATACTTTTCCATAGGTTTGAATGGCAGATCAACCGATATACCGCAATGCACGCCACGCCTTTGGATTCTTCATTTTGGCTTATTTTCGTCTATAAATTTGAGTCGTCTCATACTGCCATGCCAAGGAAAAACGCCTTATGAGCCTTCGGCCGTTGCTAAATGATGAATCACACATTTGCATGAAACTTTGTAAATATTTTTCCTCCAGCATTTTAATAATTTTGCTCGCAACTATTGGGCTCCTCCTGGGAGGAGACAAAGGGGACGCCCAGTGATAGGGTGGCGACAGGGGGTATTAAATGAAATGAGGGAGTGTCAACTACCTGATGACCTGTGAGAAGACCGAGTTTTGTGGTGATTAGGCGTCGCATAGCACCTACGAGCGCTATAAAAGCCGCGACTCATGTATGTATGTTCGCAGTTTCATCCAAATTATCAGAAACTTTCAAGTAAAAGAAATGTTTAACTTTTCTAGTTGCCCCATACGTCAAACGGGCAACAAAATGGGTAAAGAGTGGACAAAATGGGTGGTTAGACTCTCTAACCGGTTGCAAAGAATGTAAACCAGGAATGGATTTGGGGGAATTGGGGAGTCAAGTCCAGCTAATCTCGGGCTGCTGAAGACGATGATGTGGTGTTAAGAGGTCGAGAAGGAACAATCCTGGTAATTACCAGTAACCTCCCAAGACACGGATTAAGCGCTCCTCGTAGCACAGTGTTGTCAAACAATTCTGATCATTGTGCTGCTGTGCTAAGGAAGAACGCCGTATAAACTTTCAGACGTTGCCACATTTCCTTCAATAAAAACCTAATTTACTGGGAAAATTGTGAATGTTTTCCTTCAATTTTTTCAGACAATTTTGTTCGCAATTTTGTCCAAAATGTCTGCAAATTTCAAGGAAAAATACGTGTAATCTTACTCAAAAATACATGTTTTATCTGGGACAATTTGGCAACTCTCAAATGTTTATACGGTGTTCTTCCTTAGCACGGCACTACGGCAGTGTGTTGTTTTTTAGACCCAACGAATCGCGAACACAATATTGTCGTATTTCAGAAGCGAGCAGCCTGTTCACAAATGATGGTGGGAGGAAACAGATATATCATAATTCGAGCGGAAAATTGTATCGAATGATGCTCTCCGTTAGTGTAAAATTGTCTAAAATCATTCAAAAAGCCCATATTAATCCTCAAGTGGTAATAGATCGTATTCGATAGTAGTTCGACGTATCGGATGGTTCAAGCAATAGAACATAACCTCAAACAAAACATGTTCTGACATAACTCAACTGAAACATGAAATTGACCATGAACTAATTCCGCAAGTTGAGTATACTGAAGAGCTGAAAATTGTTTTAACGCCAGCCACTGGTAAACAATGAGGCGTTTTTATGTGGTACAGTCATCCCAGATTCTAATAAAGTGTGTAACACTTTGAGTCGCATCCATGCAATTTTTATGCTAGTTTACCCAGAGCAGACTGTAATATTGCATTCTTTAACCATAATGCATGTACATTTAAAAGAG